AGCAAGCCAGCAGCTCCAAAAACAATTTCAGCATGTAATGATAAATTGAGAGCTGCAATGCCGTCTCTAGAGAGAGCAATTACAACACAAAGTGTACCGATTGCGAATATTTCTCAAAAGCCTAGACTGAAAATGACTAAAAGCAGCCATAAAAAGTCAGTCAAGGAGAGATCAATCAATAAATCCAAGAAAAGTGGAGAAAACATTAAAAGAAATCTAAAACTCAAAATATCAATACCATTAAAACGGACTCAAGTAGACAACATATCGGAGGAGAGACATACGGCAGAGAGTACGAAGGCAATGAAGGAGCAATATATTGGATACTACAAAAAGTTTTAATATTTTCTGAATTTATTAAAGTAATACACTTCCTTTAAAACAAGATAAACCAACCAAATAAAGTCATTAGGCGGTAAAGGATGATGGGAAACGGTAGGGAGGCAAGAAGATGGGATAGAATCTCCTTAAGGCAAACAGGCCATATATAGCTGACAATAATAAGCAAATTGCAGCAGGAATATTCTCCAGTGACAATCCAACAATATGTGAAGGTGACGTCTATAGTTCTATTTTCGAGCATATTAAGTTCAGGTCAAATGAAGTGCATGATGAATCTTTGTTCATAGACCAATTGGCTATGCAATTTAAGCCTTATCTGGGACAGTATGATTGTAATCTTTTCATTGAGCATACCGAGAATTTCCCATGTTTTTTCTCATTTTAAATTGATAAATTAATCAATAAAGAAACAATGGAAATTAGAGTAATACGATATGAAGCATAAAATCCTGGAACTATGAAGCAAACAATTTGAATAAAAACAAGGACAAAAGCCAATTAATCATTGAACAAGAGGAGCCAACTAATCATTGAAGTTATGAGAATCAAGTTTTATTTTATAGGATTATACTGTTTAACACCTTAGATTCGGCATTAACTGGAACTGAACTCATCTTCATCATTTCTCAAATTAAGTAATTAGACTTTTATGTATTATCGATCCAAACAAAAACAGCGTATGGAGACAAAGCATCAAAGTAGCAGAATGAGCTATGAGCTACACTGGATACCATCGCTTAATAAACATACAATGCCACTAACAATATATAAACAAATCACCCTGACTGACCAGTGGAAATTTGCGAAGTGGTGGTAAATGGTACTTAATTCAATGTACTTATTGGTTGATGCGCCTCAAATTAAAAGTAGAAGAAGGAGACCTAACGAAGGGATGCAGGAATAAGGAAAGCAAAAATAAGTATATAGAATGTCTCTGTCAACATTGCTTTCTTGCAGTTAGATGTGTAAGGTTAACAGCTTGGGTCCATAATCTGACGAAGTAAAATGAAAGAAAGCAAGAACTTTTTAGCATTTCCATAGTCCTTTTTTCATATTATTATTTAAAGCATTTTCATAGTTCTCAAACAACTGAATGTGCAATGCAAGCAGTGCATTTTCTGCTAATGACCCAATATTATAAAGGTTCAACAAAAATCTTTATTAAGAAAAAATATCTTGTAAAAGACAAATAATTGCAAGGAAAGTCTTTTTTACAAAAAATGTAGTACTGAAGATTTGCTCAAAATCTGATTCCATTTTCTATAGAAATAGAAATAATAAATAAGAACAAACTAACCACTGTTAAGAATGAAAACGTACATAAATCAAGGAAAATAAAGACATCAAAATAAATCAAGCTCAGTAGTCCAGTAAAAATTCATGTTTGGTAGTAATTTAATATATAAAATATGGCACATCCTTTGCCAACAACTCAAAGGGACGCAGAACACAAAACCAAGTGTAACAGCGTTACCTTCTTTCTGTACCACCAAAACCTGAAAAACAAAAGTTTAACCATTATTGAAAAAAGAAAAGCGATAGGAAGAACTGAATTTTACTTGAAGGTGATAAAAGCTAACTAATAACATCAACAAATATTCAACACTGATAATCATATAAGCAGATTATATCTCCTCTACTCATTATATTAAACAAAAAAAATCCAGAATGTGTATCATGATTTTTAAGGAATAAAATAAAGCTTTATGATGGAAGAGTACAGTTTGTTAGCAAATGCTAATAAACATGATGATGTGTAGTTTTTCAGAGCAAAATAGAATTAGACAATTAATGAAACGAGGAATCCACCTGACGTTGTTCGACTTGTTGAAGGCCCTGGCGAATCATTCCTATACCTACCATGTGAAGAGCTCCGGGAACCATCTTGCTCATACGATCTTCTACTTCGAAAGAAACTGTCTTCACTAAAATTAAATAGCAACAATTACCACAACTTGCAAACAGATTTTCAGTTTGGTCAACTGACTGCCTATAAACTTCAAATTATTAACTACACCTCAATTTTTTCTGACCATGAACAAACCTGTTCTGGCTCCTGCCGTACAAGTAACCAGCTAAGCCGCCCAATCCAAGACCAGAAAAGAAACCAGGTCCACTGGACTGAGATTGTGCACCGGCTGCGTTATAGAAAGATTCTTCGTATGTAGGAGGTGCATCGGTTGGATGTGTAAAGCTTTTGAAACCTGGCGGTGGTGGTCTTCCGTTGCCTGGTGGAGGTGGTGGTCCTTGATCCCAACCCCATCCTGATAAAAGATTTACAAACATTAATTTACTTGTCATACTCAAGTATTCATTTCACCAGAGATATCGACTACTACTTAATAAAGAGTGATACAGCACAAAAATTTTGAGCTGTAAAACGTACTAGACGAGTCTGAAATTATAAACTCGAAACTACTAAACAATGAATCCATGGCTGATTAGAAGCAAATAGCATAGTCAAGTTTTACACAACCACATGAATTGCCCCTCTTATCTCCCTTTGTCTTTCGTCATCAATACAACTTTCACTCACTTTATTTGTGAAGTGATGGAACAATAATGGTGCTATATGGTTTGAAAATAAAGTTAGAAATAAATAAAAGTTAAAAATTGAATACCACTGCGACGTGTCCTGTTATCACCAGCAGTGGGTTGCAAACAACTGTAGTAGACTACAAAGAAAAACAAAAGCAAAATGGCTATAGTCGAAAATGTCAAGGAACCAAATCTGAAATGATTAACATGAAATCTAAACTAAGAATTCCAAGGTTACAAATAAAGAAAGTTACGGAAAACTTACTTCTAGAAAAAACGAAAAGTCAGAAACACTTCCATAAATACTCACTCATGATCTTTCTTATACGTTGGTGCACTTGGTACTTTTTTGCCGTCACCATAATTGCTCCCTCCTGCGCGACTATATTCCAGGCTGTACTTCAACTAAAAAATATCAGTTAAACATATCTAACTGAAAATCAATTTATTTATTAACAATGAATTATCAGCTTGTCAGAATTCACGGAAACTTGCACATTAATCTTAAAGAGTTCATTACAAATTATTAGTTGTTTGCATCATAACAGCACTCGCAAACGTCAACAAATACTATACTGCCTTCCACTATTCATATCAAAATTTTAATCTATCCTGACATAATTCATGTGTTAGAGCTGATGCCGATCATAATTTCCCATGAAATCATGTCAGTCAACAATAACAGTTCACTGCAGTATGAAAGTTGTCTGAAAAAATAAATTCCAAGCTTACGCCACAAGAACCTCGCAAGATGTACGGGTCATCTGCGTAATCATATCCTTCACAAGATATGCGGATCTAAAACAAAATTTTAGTCGCATTTTAAATTTTCAGATCTGACTTAAGAAATGTTGCTTACGAACAGGCTTATCAGACATCAAATATCCTTAAAAACATGACAAATTGCATAGAAAACTGATGGTGACTCATAAATAGCACATAGATAGTACATCCATCATGGAAAAATTACTTCTCCAAATTCATACTGATCGCTCATCTCAGCTTTACACTCCCACTGGACATCGATGCCATCATAACCTTTGTTGTAACATTGGACAACCTAAAAATGTAAGCAGAGAACAGGAGAAAATAGTCTAAAAATCATGATCATGGGCTGCTTTCAGTTCAAAATACCGAAAATGGCCATGTCCAATGCAAAGGAAGCAACATTACGAAATTTACTATACTGTGACAAAATTATCATATCCTGTACATACTCTAGGTTCAAACTTCCCCTCTGCCGATCCTCCGACACACTGAATTTGTGGAATTGGAGAAGATCTTCTTCCTGTGGTATACTTATCTCGATATAATGTTAGCGTTGTGACATCGGCCAAACGGACTTTCCCTGAGCTCTCTGGAAATGTTGGAGTTGTCATAAGTTATCTACAAATAATTTTTCGGAGTACAATTACTTATCTAAATCGATTGCCGAAGTTAAGTTCAAATAAGTAGGCAATTTTCCAACACCTATGATTCTGCTTCCTTTTGAGTCTGTTAAAACTTCCCAAACTGGGGTATTATAACCTTTCGTTCTGTCTGTTCTCAAAAATATGTGAAAAATTACCTCTACGTAATCACGACAGGAAAACAATAATTACTTCATTGCTGTCCAAATAACTTCAAAACTTACCACATAAATTAACAGTACCAATTAAAAATATAACATATAATCCGTAGCACGACATTATAATCCTGAAAATTTGAAAATAAAAAACTGTAAATGTTTCAAGTTGAAAAATGATGAAATATTTAATTGACCATACTTTTATTTTATTACTTATAGAATGAACTATATTTAATTCCATTTTCAATGCAAAGCTTGACTAATACATAATTTGACTCAATAAACGAGCACATAAAATGCTGCCTTGCCTTGGTGTTAACCAGAAAATGAAGACGTCAAATTGTGCAAATAACGAATAAGCAAAACATCAGCCCACCTCCTAACGAAACAGCAAACGACACATAGCATTAGAAACTTGCCGGGAAGATTTACTTGTGCAATGGAATTATCTCATGCAGAAAGGTAATTGTCTTACTGTAACATGTAAAGTGTGTATTTCGCCTCGGATATTTGTGATCTGGGAGAAGTCTAGATAAAGAATGGCCAAGGATACCTTGCAAAACATCCACTAGACATGATAGGCTTGCTTTGTTTTTCCGTTACCGAATAGGTTAGTAACCTAGAATTAAATAAGAGGGTTCGAGAATTACAGCAATATTAATCTGGTAAAATGATTGTTTATTGAAGCAGAGCGATCAACTTGCAATCAATATGCAGTGAAGGCTTACTGAAGGTAAACCTGACAGCGACGGTAATTTAACTTCCTTGTACCTAACAATGATTATTAAGTTTCTGTCGAAATAGGAGTTTAATCAGTTAGATAATGCATATTATCAGTGACTTTGACAAATTAAACAAGCAAAATGATAAAGCCTATTTTATAGTGGGAGGTTGTATTTGAGGAGCATTAGAACAACAATAGCATTCTTTATTTTGAGCATATCATACAAACAACAATTTTTTGGTGATTTATCAGTACATATATAGTACTAATTGCGCATCGCTGTTATTACTGCTGCCTTCCAAATTCGTTCACTTTTTCTGAAACAAAAAAATACGGTATTGTGAAGTTTGACGGGGAGAAAGTTAGTAAGAAGTAAGGGATATGAATGTTAAGGCATCCAAAGTCCTTTTTTTATAAAGAGATGAAAGTATTCTTTAACTTCTTTCTTTTTTCCTTTTTTTTTTTTAGGATTCATTTGAAAAATGAATCGCAATGATCTTCCGGAAATCATTTCACAGACATTTGTTACGCCTGTATTCACGGAACAACCCATTACACTCTGTAATTGATTATGCGATCCACATCAGGAACCACTTACAATACAACTTATTTCAAATTTCACAAAATGTGAACTTGAAAAGTTATAAAGCAGGTGGAAAAAATCTTTTCTTGGGTTTAAAATCATTTCAAAAAGTCGCACTCTGAATGCAAATAATGGCTCGGATAAATAAAAGCGACTATCGGAAACAATCGAGCCAAATCCTGGTCGGAAGTTACCGCGGCCAGAAACAAGTGAACCTCCGGACGGTCCCAAATTTGCCAGTTTTGGTGATCGAAAGAAATAATCATTAGTCGCATTCACCGTCTACAAAGAATTCAGTGATTCATTAACTATTTGATTCTTCTATTTTTTAGTTAACCAATTCATACTTTCGTTATTTATTCATCGTCATTCTCTACGATAACCTTTTTTGTTTCCTTTTATTTGTATGTCATCGATTTTAAATATCTGAAAAGCTTTTCTTCTTTCAAAATGATTATGATACGTAAGATGGAAGCGTTTATTGTGATCAAAGGGCTCCGAGCGATTATATTTATCCTAACAGTACACGCTGTAAGTGATGATTTTATCATTCGTAGTTGATGTGGTTATCACCCCTTCACATCAATGCCTCAATAAATTAATTCGTGGGGATGTAATGTTAAACAGACTGAATGTATTCCGTGAAAGACATACAGTAATTGGCGTTTTCAAATTCTCTGTGTTGAATCGTTGATTGGTAAATCGTAATCTAAACTTAACTAGTTATAGATTGCGTAAAATCTACTAAATCTACCACTAATTTCCGCTACTCCAACAAGTTTTTGCACTTTTATACTTGTGTGATATTTAGAATTTTTGAATGAAGAAGGCCTATGAAATGAAAAAAACAAACAAACCTGGCAATGGAAATTTAAAATAGCAATTACAGATAGCAAAGGAAGCGGTAGCATGAGTAGGACAGTACCATAAATCATCGTTGCAATTTGGTTGTATCTATCGAAGTCGGTATTAAATAGGAAGTTGCTGGTAAATGCTTTCTAGGGTTGTGCTAAACAATACCATAGAAAGTTTTACGAGTTTCGTGGAAAATTATATCTCTAAACAGCAAAGAAGAGACCACTGTGGCGAAACTTTTAATTATAAAAGCTCTTGTGAGTGCGATAGCATTATTGAAATCATCCCTGGAAACAATTAGCCAGAAGAGATGGATGACCAGGCTGATTGGTTAAAGATTTCTCTCCCTCCCTTTCTCTCATCCCTTCTTTAAATTATAACTTATATAGTTCGTTTCACAATGGCCTGTAATGGACGTAACTGTAGAAATAGCATCATGAGAAAGGACACATTCTGCAAAATGTTATGAGTAATCAATTTAAAATCCATGACCTCCTAAATAATGACACAAGAAGTGATACGAGGAAGAGATGGATTGATTTGAAATGTAAAATTTAGATTTCGTCCTCGGTTTACTCTTTCTTCTTTTTGCTGATAACATGAAAAGTCTTATAATTCATTTCTTTATTATTCAATTCATCATCCAATTACTAATTCTATCATCACACTGTCTGTGTAAATAACCCTCTCCTTTATTTGGAAAACATTTTAATTATGAAGTAATTGATAAATTTATCGTAAATGAACTATTAAAGCATTGAGGTAACAGTTCATATACCTAACCATTCACATCAAAATCAACATAGCCCAGATTCATTATATATAACAATTATTTAGTATTCACTTTCCATGTTACACGCATGAAATTACAGACCCTATTTCTTATGGAACTTACACATCTGAAAGGACAAGAAGACTGTTACATTCAAGGTGTCACTAACATCTTATTGAATTAACAGGAAGTCGATAATTTTAATCTTCCGAGAAGTCGTGAAAAGAAAAGATGACGTGTATGACATATACACAGGCCTACATTTATAGCCTTGTATGCATTTTATTAATTAAACATTTCAGCATGAGCAGCATTCAGCTTAAGCTTTATTTGAATTAAAGTGAATTTGTATTTTGCTCATGGGACTGAATATAAATCAAATCACATGCTAACATATTTTTAGACAAAAAATAGCACAGCAATTTGGAATTTTCTCTTCCTTTGATAAATGTCATTAAAACGTTTCATCAAGTAAACTACTTCATTTGTCTAACTTTTTTATTCCAAAATTGCAAGAAAAAAAGTCAAAATTTTATCCAAAATTATTCATATTGAAAATTCAGATTTGAATGGGATAAACGTGAATGATATAAAAAACTAGCAAAAATGTCGTCCATCAAAGAAATAAATATTTTGAATATTGCAAATAATATAATGATATCAAGCAGCTAACTGATACATAATCTAAAATCAGTGATTGAACCCAACCATATAGCAAAACTTCTGCATAACCTCAAACTAACAGGTCTGTAGATAAGTCTTATAAATCTTATTTTTTTTTGATAGATAAGTCTTGTAAATTAACAGCAAAAAAATAGAAATCAATCTGGTAAAGATATTCTTTAGCTTCATGAAAATCTCTTTTATTGACTACTAACTGACCAATATTATATTACTGACCTTTGTGACCATCTTACTTCGGTCAAGAGCTAGAATGAAAATGATACCCTTTGAAAATAAGATGTTATTTAATCTCTTTCCATTTTCATTGTTAGTATGATTACATGTAGTTGGAAGTTCCCAAACACGAAATGTCATTTAATTTTCGCATCTTCATCGAATCCACTATCGTAATCCTACTTAGCTGAAACAATGTATTGCATCGCTGAATTGCATTCGACAGTCATGCGACAAACACCGTGATCCGTATACTAGTGTTGTTGGGAGGGCGTTTTTACTGCAGTTTTATTTGGGTGATTAGTCTTTTGTTTCTCTACTGTTAATAGTTGCATTATTTAGCCTGTTTTGTCAACCTCTGTCATGTCTATGTCCCATTAATGTCATATCTCAGTCATTTCCATGTTGCCGGTTCAATAGTATTCCCGTCTAGAATGTCTTTGTGGAAAAGTTCCGTAAAACACTTGGAAATAGTTAGATTTGGCAGTTAACAGGTTTTCTGAGGGATGTTAGTTAAAGACAAAATATTTAAGATCCTCTCAGAATTATGAAGCACATGGATTTTCCGATGGAAGTTCTGGATTTGACATTACGATAACTTAAAGTATCGCTGCTCTCTTTATTGTACATTGTAAATGCAAGTGTTACTTTGAAAAAAAAAAACTCCAGTAACAAAAGTTTTTTTGACCTTATTTAAAATTCGGGACTGATGGAGGTAACCTGGATAGATGCAATAGAGTTAATAGCACTGAGTGAAGTTGAATCTCAGTTGACAGAATGAATTCTATAGACAGACTTCTTCGGGTCACAGCTGGGTTAAAATCTTGTTAATAATTTGTTTTAAGATGGGACTGAGAAACTTTCCCTAGTTTAACAGCACCATTTGTTGTTAACTCAGTAGATCGTGATGTCATTATTTAATTAAAGATGCTTTCATATACCGAAATTCATCTTGACTACTTTTTGTAGATAAGGAACTGAAAACTAGTTTTAAGGCGAGTAGAACTAGTTTTTGAGTTAATTAAATTTATCTCAAATTTTTTAGAAAAATGAGTGACGTAGAAAGTGACAGCAATGGAAGACTGGGAGAGCAAGATGATGAGGAAGTGTATGATGATGAAGCATATGAACAAGTCATTTTAGAAATGAAAAAAATGGTAAGCTTTTGTTGTACTTTCTAATATTAACCTTCCGAGTTCCCTGGTCATTAGTTTTTCCATACTTTGATATAATTTGGAGGTAGTAACAGCAGCGCACAGAATGTGACATCAGCTACTTTGCAGGTGGAAGTTTCGCCGAAGGACTATGGCAGTCGTATGAAATTGATTGAGGCTTTGCGTCGAAGTGGTGAGCTTGAAGCAGTTCGAGAACAACGAGAATGCATATCAACATTATACACGATGCCTCCCAGTTTCTGGCTAGACTGGATCGAGTTAGTTACTCTTTGCAAAAGTGATCAAGAACATTTGCATTGTGCTATATCCTCTTGCAAAGGAATTAATTCGAATGTTTTGAAACTAACTGAAACATAGCTCAGTCAGAGAAATATGAAGAGTCTACTTACAAGAGAGCACTGAGATCCGAGCTCTCCGATTACGGTATTTATGCTATTTCTCCATTTCAGGGTAGTAACAACAAACTACAGCATGCGGTTGAATGTGACAAGGATCTGATTAACAGCAGTGTCTGACACATTCGTATCGAACTTTAAAGTTTAAGGTAGAGAGAAGAGGAAGAGAGAGAGAGAGAGAGAGGGAGAGCCGAATAAACTGAAAATTATGAACTTTCATCTCTGGCATGTTCCCATGATTCCTTAATATTAATCTTGTTTCATATTATTTACAGAGATGAAAAGTCGGCAGAAAGTGGCAAGGATCTGATTAAACGGCTTTTCGAATGTGCAGTTCGGGATTTTCACAGTCCCGATGTTTATCTGGAATACGTCCAATGGGCCTGCGGTACATCTCTCGATTTTGCGAGAGAGGTAACGATAGTATCAGATACATTCTTATTGAACTTTCAGGTTTAGAATATAAGGAAGTGAAGATCAGACTTCAAAAGTTCTAGCAAGTTTTTTGTTTCTCTGATTGTTAGATCATTCAGCGCACCATAGCCATGAATAATAGTACAGCCATGCGCATACATGAACACCGTGGAAAAGGCCGGCAGATTGGCTTTCAAACTGTTCCATCCATTTCAATGACTGGTGGGATCGATGTCACATATTCCAGCGGCTAAGAGTGACTTGGTTTCATAGAATGTTGTTAAAAGCAAAAGTCAGTTCAGTTATGCCTTTTTGTAATTTTTGGCAATAAAATGATTTTATGGTAGTATCGGGTACAAAACTTTTAGAAAATGGAAGAAGCAGTGATAAAAATAGGTTTACGAGCTGATTGTGCTTCTTTGATTTGGAACATTTATTTGGATTTGAAAAAATGATTCTGAATTCAATGGGTGGTGGGAAAATATAATTTGACAAAAAGGAAGGGGAACAAATAAAACGACATTCAGGACTGGGAATTTAGCGTAGATCCATCAGTCAAGAAATAGCAAGAAAGCGACCAGTAGTGGAAATCAGCAGAAAAGCTCCTCTGGCAAGGTTTGGCCAATCTGCGTCACACAGTCCTCTTGTTGGTCACAATCATTTGTCCAGCTTAAATCGTAGCTGGACCTACTTTAACCTCAACTGCCACCACCCAACGGGGGACATGACATTCCGGACGGAAATGTTGGACGTCCTATAGGACGCCGACCTGTTCCATACCCATGACCACC